CACACACGCACACATGTACACACGCACTCACACACATGCACATACACTCTCATGCACACACACACACACACACGCACACTCGCGCACGCACATGCACTCTCACACACAGACACACACACGCACACTTGCACGCACACACACACACACACACACACTCACGCACGCACACACATACACACACACACACTCTCATGCACTCACTCACACAAACACACACACACACACCAGGACCTTCCAAACAACACAGATTAACATCAGCTCCAGATCAACTGAAGTTCAACGGCGGAAATATTTACTACAAACTTACTTTAAAATATATGGCTGAAACCTGTCGAGAACTTCTCTGAGTCATATTTCAAGACCCAACTAAAACCCAGGCATGTTTTCTCACATTTCTTTTTTTAATTGCTTACACACAAGTTCTGAAACTCTGAAACCATTTGCTGAACTCAACACAAAACATGCACACACCATCCAAAATGATTATGCATCTCTTGCGAACGCAAACACGCAAACACAAACTCTTATAAAAATACTAACAATCCAAATTCATCCCAAAATTAGTGATGCACTAAAATTCTGGCAACAGCACTGTAAAAGATGATGTTCTTCCTCAGTATTTCTGTTTTGTTTTCCAGTACAAACATCTGAACATACTGAAATTAAGATACATTTAGAGGAATAGAAAAATGGTGTATTTGGTGTAACAAATTTAGGTTATAATAACATTGTGGGAACATTGCTTTGAAATGTTTCTAAAACGTTAAAATGTCCAGTTTTCTTGTTGCGGTTTCAAAAAAAGTTTACAAAAATGTTCTTACAATGATCTACTAACTTTACTTTTCCCTAACATGTCGTTATTTGAATGCTTGTTTTATACTAAGAAGGTTTCTTGTTGTGATTATAATGTTATTTAAAGGCTACAAAAAGCTTCATCAAGTACAAATAACATCATGAAGACATTTTGAGAACGCTGATCTCAGAACATTTTCTCTTAATGTTATGAGAATGTGTGTCAAATATTAATAAAGCAACTTTTAAATAGTGAAAGTTGTGAGAATCTTCACCTGTTAGGGAAGATATGACATCTGTCGATGGTGTCAGAAAAATACATTTTAATTCAGAGGGAAAACAAGATTATTTTTCTCATCCCATCGGCGAATATTTATTCTTGTTTTAAGCAAAAACAGATTTTGATCAATTTCTCAGAAAACACGACTTATTATCTTCAGTCATTCTGCTTCTCCAGTAAATGTGTCTGGTTTTAAGGATGTTTAGATAGTTGTAATGGAAAACAAGACAGAAATACTGAGGAAGAACATGTTTTTTTTTTGCAGTTCGTAAATATTTGAAATAGTTTTGGAGGCTGAAATCATCGGCTGAAACAAGAATATTTAATTAGCGCTTCTCTGATGGCGTGTTTTGACTGTGTCGGTAGCTATGTTTCCATCCACCTATTTTTATGCGCATTTAGGAATATCGCATAAAAAAAAAACACTGGATGGAAACGCCAAGATGCACATAAATTCTAAAAATGTGCATTAAAAAACGTATGCGCACAATTGAGTAGGATAAAATGTTTATTTTATTTATTATTATTTTATTGTGTTTCGTCTGCCCGCTCTGAGGCGCAAGTGATTGATCATATATGAAAATGATTATATTCAGTGGGTTCTCCTACTTTTCTTAGTGATATTTAGTGCCAGTTTATCAGGAAGTGTTCTCTTTGACTCATTGGATGGAAACGGGGCTTTATTCGCAAATGTTTTATCCGATATTCAAGTTTTGCACGCAAGTTAAATTTGCATCGTTGAATGGAAACATAGTTTTTATTTCATGCACAAAACATGGATAAACTACAATAGGTGAATGTGTGGACGCTAGTGCTGGATTAACAGGATTGAATAGCTGTCATTTGTCTGCATTAGTACTGAGAAGCATGCAGCGGTCTTACCTGCGTCGTGAGCCGTGATGATGAGCGTGTATTTGTCCTGAGTTTCTCGGTCCAGCGTTCGGATCAGGTTCAGCTGACCACCGGATGTAAGGCTGAACGCTCCCGCGTCGTTCCCGCTGCTCAGGGAGTAGCTGATCTGACCGTTAGTGCCCAGATCGTCATCACGGGCCACCACCTGCCACACAACACAAACCTTCTTCAGGATCCGCACAAATAAAATTAACCAGTCCCTACTGAACAAACCCATCAAGTCATGCCATGTCATATTCAAAAGCCAACACGTTGAATTAAATGCCAGATACAGTTTGTGTATCCAAAATACCATTAATATCCAGAAAAAAAGATTGTATGTGTAATTCAGGACTTTTAATTATAAGCAAGTCTGAAATACACCAGGACTCTTATTTCGAAATGACGTTGCTTTGCTACTTCCAGCTGCACATTCATAAACACGCTGAAGCTAAAACATGCATCTTGCAAACATCTACAACGTATTATTATATAAACACCATCACGTAAACACTGTCATAATTCATCAACAGTACAACATACTGTAAGCAATCATTTGGCATAAATGCGTGATATTCATTAACTGTGAACTGCTCTGAAAAAACCCTTAAACTGATGTTATTTAGGATGATTTCCAAGGAAGCATTTCTCATTTTCATTTAGCTTAACTTGATGTACTAAAATAAGTCAAGTTAAAATAAAAAATAAAATAAAGACATACAATTAAAAACAAAAACACAACAAAATTACTAAAAACTAAAATGGAAACAAAAAATAACAACTAATTAAAAATATTAATAAAAACTATCATAATTTATTAACGCTACTACAATAAGATGAAATATTTTAAACACTTCATTGTGCTTTTAACTCTAGAGTTGTGCAGTAAGAGTCGCATTAAAGAAGACATTTCTCATTTTTAATCCTGGAGATCTCATGGAAAATGAGCCATGCTTTAGTTTAGTCATCTGATGGAAAACAAACACTTTTAAAATGAAAATGACATGATATTACCACTAGAACCAGTAGATGGTGCAAAGGATCTCTTATTAGCTTACACGCCATTCACACACCCTAATATCGTATAAACATATATGTGTTTGTCACTCCTGAAACATTGCAATATATGTGCACGCCGGTCCTCTTAAAAGCACGACAAACAAAACTTCAAATTGAATGTATTATATACAAAAAGTGAGCAAACTCCGGTTATAATCAATGAATGTAAGTACACACTGCATAATGAGTCTCTTATTTACATCGTGTCTATGCTTTGTTTGTTGAGAATTTGAGAGAGTGTAGAAGTCAGATCAACACAAATCACACAAATGACCTATTTTGGATTCAAAATGGCAAATTTTACCAAAAGGTGACAAGTTTGCGTCCGCAGGAGATCTTCTGTTTCTGTAAGTAAACGGCTTTAGTGTACCCAGCCAACACGGAACGTTCTCACAGCTTTCGCTAATGTTTTTAAAAGTTATAGAAATGTTAGGACAAAACCTTCTTAAAGTAATGTTTATGGAATGTTCTTCTACCTTTATTAATATTTGATTCTCATAATGTTGAGGGGGAAAAAAACGTTCTGAGATAAACATTCCTGAAACGTCATTTGTACTTGATGAACATTCTAAGAAATTGTAACCTTTAAATAATGTTATATTTTGGGTGAAAATAAAGTTACTAGAACGTTGTAAGCAACGTTTCTGTAATCTTTAAATGATGTTCAAAACATGTCAAAACAACGTTTTTATAAGCTGAATTTGTTATCTGGTAGCAATTCTGATTCCATGTGGACTTTGCTGATTTTCACACAGTTCTCTTTCTGTGTTATAGGTCTGTAAAATGCCTCGTTTGGGTTCAGTGTTGGTTTGCGTGAGACTCTGGCGCTGGCACACCTGAGGAGCCGTGACTCCAGCTCATTTCCCTCTCAGGTGAGGTTTGTTTTGACTCGGACATTGGAGACCACCCTCACTATGTCATTTAGCCGTGGCATATTACTTTCTGCGTTTACACACACCAGCCGCGCCGTCAAACACGCAAGCCATTCCAGTTACAGAGCGCGGTTTGTGCTGGAAATTTAGTCTCGCATTTCTGCATGTTAAAGCAAAAATTATAAATGATGTAGAACCACAGCCGCCCAATCTAACGAGATTAACTAATGCTATCAGCGATTTCCCATTAAAGTCGTAATTACAAGTTTGTCGCATCGGACACTGGGTTCATTCTCACCAATTAAATCTTAATAGAGCCAAAATGTACTGAAGATATTTAGATACTGGATTTACAATACCCAACAGATTTAGAATAAATTGTAACGTCACATTCGTTTATAAACATCCACCGCACAATCTAGTCAATCTCAGTCAAATAAACGCTGTGTAAAATACATACACTATACATCAAATGGTTATTGAGATACATAAATATGCATGACTGTAACAGCAAGAGGAAGCAGGCACTGTTTAACGTTTGCGTCCCGGACGAATCAGAAACTCGGTTTCTGAGTTTTCCGGTTGTAATTGGGTCATTCCTGGCATTCGGTGGCTTCTGTGTCCCTGGTAAAGATCATGACCTCATTTTAAAGTCATTTTTAAACCTGTTTGTTCTTAACAGGGTGGGCATTTTTGGCCTTCCATTTCATAGATTTTGTTCAATATATGCTTACATTTATTTGCCTGATCTGGACCTGAATCATTTTTCAAATATTTTACATCTCCCAATCATGATTGCGCAAAAAGTTGTTTTGAAAATTGTATTTGATTTTCAACATTTCATGATGTCCAAAAGGCACTGAATATCAAATATATGACTTCAGAAGCTGTTTATGTCTTATGTCCGACTAGAAAACTCGGCCTCTTCCAACTAGTCCCACCTTCACGAGTCACTTTGGGAAAAAGCGTCAGCTAAATGCAAGATTGTAAATGTATTTACGAGAATTTTGATAACATAAATGCAGGGTACTTGCCTGTAAGATGTTACTGGACATTTCTTGTCTTCTGTTTTATAGATTTTGTTTAATAAATGCTTACACTTTTGTGTTTCCCCCAATCACGATTTACAAAAAAGTAGTTTGTTTTAAATTTAAATATTTTTTTTTATGATGTCCGAAAAGGCACCAAATACCAAAAGTGACCCAAATATATGACTGTTCATATTCGATTTTTGACTAGTCCCTTTGGAAAAAAGCATCTGCTGAATGCATGACTGTAAATGTATTTCTATCATGACAACTCTCAGAGGATTTTAGCATGGTAATGGCTATGACAATGTTCAATGTTCAATGTATTTGGTCTTGGCGGAATAGATCTGCTACGCTGCTGCTGCTGGTTATTGCTGTTGTCATAGATTACTGCTGCTGCTGCTGCTGCAAATACAGGAACTCGCTACTGCCAATACATCTGCCGATACGCTGCTGTGAGTATTTAAGATGTACTGCTGCTGCACAAATAGCATATAAAATAACCCGCAGCAGATCTATACAGGTGGAGCTGGGGAAGGTGTAGGGTTTCAGAGGAAGTGAATGCTAACCAGCATTTAAATGTAAAGCAGGAAGATCATTGGCTGCGTATGCAACATGAACCAATCAGCTTGTGCCGCGTAGTTTAACGCTCTGAATATCATCAGTTTACATTAACGACCCATCAGCCTGCGCCATCTACACTTTCGTGAAAGAACTTGGCATTTACGATCATTTTGATACCATAAATGTAAGACGTTCTTCAAATGTTTTTGTCTTCCATTTCATAGATTTAGTTTCACAAATGCTTATATATATTTTTTCTCAAGTATTTCTCCCAATTTTGATTGCACAAAAAGTTCTTTTGAAAACGGTAAATTTCCAACTAGTTCCGCTTTCATAAATCACTTTGGAAATAAGCATCTCTTAAATGCACGATTGTAAACATATTTACGATAATTTCAATAGCATAAATGCGGAGCACTTGCCTGGAGGATGTTCTTGGGCAGGTTTCCTAAGTTCTCCTGTACGCTGATGCTGTACGGCGAGAGCTCAAACACAGGCGTGCAGTCGTTTACATCCAAAAGCACGATGTTAACGGTGGCGCGATCCACACGAGGGCTGCTGCCGCGATCCGCCGCCTGCACCAGCAGAGAATACGCCGAGCGCGTCTCGCGATCCAGCAGCTTCGCCACAGAAATCACGCCCGTCACCGAGTCGATCCGGAAGTCCGAGTTAGCGTTCCCGCCGGCGATGGAGAAGCGTATCTGGCCGTTGGTTCCCTCGTCGGCGTCGCTGGCGAACACCTGCACGACATCTGCGCCGCTGAGCGTGTTCTCCTCGATCTCGATGTCGTAGATGTTCTGCGAGAAGCTAGGTGTGTTGTCGTTCACGTCCAGAACGATCATGGTGACCTCCATTCTGGAGGAAAGCGGCGGCTCGCCTTTATCCGTGGCCACGATGGTCAGAGAGTAATTGGCCATCTCCTCGCGGTCCAGTTCGCCCACCAGAATCACGCCGCCGTCGATGTTCCCGATGCTGAATTTATTCCCAAACGGCAACCGATTTTGCAATAAAGCAGAACTGTGAGTCACAATTAACACATTTGATCACGTTTAAACCCTACTTCAGCAGATTTACTAGTAAAACCGTTGTGTAGAAAATGTGAAAAACGTCTGCAGATTGTGTCTGGGCCAAAACATCAGTCATGGTTTGACTGGCTCTCGGCGCTCCAGAGCTGTTTCCTGCTCTTGGCAGATACAGGACCGTATTTAATGTCAAAAGTTCTCGCCGATGTCCAGAGCAAATCCCTGTCATTACAGCAGATCACGTGACCTCAGAGGAATGGACGACACGCACACTCACACGCACACACACGCTCGCACACACACACTCACACACTGACACACTCACACACACGCATGCATGCACGCACACACTCACACACACACTCTCACGCACACACGCACACACACTCACACACTCACTTTTCCAAAACATACATGCACACACACACACGCACACACACGCATGCATGCACGCACGCATGCACACACTCACACACACACTCTCACGCACACACACTCACACACACACACACGCATGCATGCACGCATGCACGCACACTCACACACTCACACACACACTCTCACGTACACACACTCACACACGCACACATGTACACACGCACTCACACACATGCACATACACTCTCATGCACACACTCACACACACACACAGACACACACACACACACACACACAGACACACACACACACACTCTCACGTACACACACTCACACACACGCACACATGTACACACGCACTCACACACATGCACATACACTCTCATGCACACACTCACACACACACACACACACACGCACACCACTGGATGCACATGCACTCTCACACACAGACACACACACGCACACTTGCACGCACACACACACACACACACACACTCACGCACGCACACACATACACACACACACACTCTCATGCACTCACTCACACAAACACACACACACACACCAGGACCTTCCAAACAACACAGATTAACATCAGCTCCAGATCAACTGAAGTTCAACGGCGGAAATATTTACTACAAACTTACTTTAAAATATATGGCTGAAACCTGTCGAGAACTTCTCTGAGTCATATTTCAAGACCCAACTAAAACCCAGGCATGTTTTCTCACATTTCTTTTTTTAATTGCTTACACACAAGTTCTGAAACCATGGCTCCTTTTGCTGAACTCAACACAAAACATGCACACACCATCCAAAATGATTATGCATCTCTTGCGAACGCAAACACTTCTTTCAAAACTCTTATAAAAATACTAACAATCCAAATTCATCCCAAAATTAGTGATGCACTAAAATTCTGGCAACAGCACTGTAAAAGATGATGTTCTTCCTCAGTATTTCTGTTTTGTTTTCCAGTACAAACATCTGAACATACTGAAATTAAGACACATTTAGAGGAATAGAAAAATGGTGTATTTGGTGTAACAAATTTAGGTTATAATAACATTGTGGGAACATTGCTTTGAAATGTTTCTAAAACGTTAAAATGTCCAGTTTTCTTGTTGCGGTTTCAAAAAAAGTTTACAAAAATGTTCTTACAATGATCTACTAACTTTACTTTTCCCTAACATGTCGTTATTTGAATGCTTGTTTTATACTAAGAAGGTTTCTTGTTGTGATTATAATGTTATTTAAAGGCTACAAAAAGCTTCATCATGTACAAATAACATCATGAAGACATTTTGAGAACGCTGATCTCAGAACATTTTCTCTTAATGTTATGAGAATGTGTGTCAAATATTAATAAAGCAACTTTTAAATAGTGAAAGTTGTGAGAATCTTCACCTGTTAGGGAAGATATGACATCTGTCGATGGTGTCAGAAAAATACATTTTAATTCAGAGGGAAAACAAGATTATTTTTCTCATCCCATCGGCGAATATTTATTCTTGTTTTAAGCAAAAACAGATTTTGATCAATTTCTCAGAAAACACGACTTATTATCTTCAGTCATTCTGCTTCTCCAGTAAATGTGTCTGGTTTTAAGGATGTTTAGATAGTTGTAATGGAAAACAAGACAGAAATACTGAGGAAGAACATGTTTTTTTTTTGCAGTTCGTAAATATTTGAAATAGTTTTGGAGGCTGAAATCATCGGCTGAAACAAGAATATTTAATTAGCGCTTCTCTGATGGCGTGTTTTGACTGTGTCGGTAGCTATGTTTCCATCCACCTATTTTTATGCGCATTTAGGAATATCGCATAAAAAAAAAACACTGGATGGAAACGCCAAGATGCACATAAATTCTAAAAATGTGCATTAAAAAACGTATGCGCACAATTGAGTAGGATAAAATGTTTATTTTATTTATTATTATTTTATTGTGTTTCGTCTGCCCGCTCTGAGGCGCAAGTGATTGATCATATATGAAAATGATTATATTCAGTGGCTTCTCCTACTTTTCTTAGTGATATTTAGTGCCAGTTTATCAGGAAGTGTTCTCTTTGACTCATTGGATGGAAACGGGGCTTTATTCGCAAATGTTTTATCCGATATTCAAGTTTTGCACGCAAGTTAAATTTGCATCGTTGAATGGAAACATAGTTTTTATTTCATGCACAAAACATGGATAAACTACAATAGGTGAATGTGTGGACGCTAGTGCTGGATTAACAGGATTGAATAGCTGTCATTTGTCTGCATTAGTACTGAGAAGCATGCAGCGGTCTTACCTGCGTCGTGAGCCGTGATGATGAGCGTGTATTTGTCCTGAGTTTCTCGGTCCAGCGTTCGGATCAGGTTCAGCTGACCACCGGATGTAAGGCTGAACGCTCCCGCGTCGTTCCCGCTGCTCAGGGAGTAGCTGATCTGACCGTTAGTGCCCAGATCGTCATCACGGGCCACCACCTGCCACACAACACAAACCTTCTTCAGGATCCGCACAAATAAAATTAACCAGTCCCTACTGAACAAACCCATCAAGTCATGCCATGTCATATTCAAAAGCCAACACGTTGAATTAAATGCCAGATACAGTTTGTGTATCCAAAATACCATTAATATCCAGAAAAAAAGATTGTATGTGTAATTCAGGACTTTTAATTATAAGCAAGTCTGAAATACACCAGGACTCTTATTTCGAAATGACGTTGCTTTGCTACTTCCAGCTGCACATTCATAAACACGCTGAAGCTAAAACATGCATCTTGCAAACATCTACAACATATTATTATATAAACACCATCACGTAAACACTGTCATAATTCATCAACAGTACAACATACTGTAAGCAATCATTTGGCATAAATGCGTGATATTCATTAACTGTGAACTGCTCTGAAAAAACCCTTAAACACAAAACATGGATAAACTACAATAGGGGAATGTGTGGACGCTAGTGCTGGATTAACAGGATTGAATAGCTGTCATTTGTCTGCATTAGTACTGAGAAGCATGCAGCGGTCTTACCTGCGTCGTGAGCCGTGATGATGAGCGTGTATTTGTCCTGAGTTTCTCGGTCCAGGGTTCGGATCAGGTTCAGCTGACCACCGGATGTAAGGCTGAACGCTCCCGCGTCGTTCCCGCTGCTCAGGGAGTAGCTGATCTGACCGTTAGTGCCCAGATCGTCATCACGGGCCACCACCTGCCACACAACACAAACCTTCTTCAGGATCCGCACAAATAAAATGAACCAGTCCCTACTGAACAAACCCATCAAGTCATGCCATGTCATATTCAAAAGCCAACACGTTGAATTAAATGCCAGATACAGTTTGTGTATCCAAAATACCATTAATATCCAGAAAAAAAGATTGTATGTGTAATTCAGGACTTTTAATTATAAGCAAGTCTGAAATACACCAGGACTCTTATTTCGAAATGACGTTGCTTTGCTACTTCCAGCTGCACATTCATAAACACGCTGAAGCTAAAACATGCATCTTGCAAACATCTACAACATATTATTATATAAACACCATCACGTAAACACTGTCATAATTCATCAACAGTACAACATACTGTAAGCAATCATTTGGCATAAATGCGTGATATTCATTAACTGTGAACTGCTCTGAAAAAACCCTTAAACTGATGTTATTTAGGATGATTTCCAAGGAAGCATTTCTCATTTTCATTTAGCTTAACTTGATGTACTAAAATAAGTCAAGTTAAAATAAAAAATAAAATAAAGACATACAATTAAAAACAAAAACACAACAAAATTACTAAAAACTAAAATGGAAACAAAAAATAACAACTAATTAAAAATATTAATAAAAACTATCATAATTTATTAACGCTACTACAATAAGATGAAATATTTTAAACACTTCATTGTGCTTTTAACTCTAGAGTTGTGCAGTAAGAGTCGCATTAAAGAAGACATTTCTCATTTTTAATCCTGGAGATCTCATGGAAAATGAGCCATGCTTTAGTTTAGTCATCTGATGGAAAACAAACACTTTTAAAATGAAAATGACATGATATTACCACTAGAACCAGTAGATGGTGCAAAGGATCTCTTATTAGCTTACACGCCATTCACACACCCTAATATCGTATAAACATATATGTGTTTGTCACTCCTGAAACATTGCAATATATGTGCACGCCGGTCCTCTTAAAAGCACGACAAACAAAACTTCAAATTGAATGTATTATATACAAAAAGTGAGCAAACTCCGGTTATAATCAATGAATTTAAGTACACACTGCATAATGAGTCTCTTATTTACATCGTGTCTATGCTTTGTTTGTTGAGAATTTGAGAGAGTGTAGAAGTCAGATCAACACAAATCACACAAATGACCTATTTTGGATTCAAAATGGCAAATTTTACCAAAAGGTGACAAGTTTGCGTCCGCAGGAGATCTTCTGTTTCTGTAAGTAAACGGCTTTAGTGTACCCAGCCAACACGGAACGTTCTCACAGCTTTCGCTAATGTTTTTAAAAGTTATAGAAATGTTAGGACAAAACCTTCTTAAAGTAATGTTTATGGAATGTTCTTCTACCTTTATTAATATTTGATTCTCATAATGTTGAGGGGGAAAAAAACGTTCTGAGATAAACATTCCTGAAACGTTATTTGTACTTGATGAACATTCTAAGAAATTGTAACCTTTAAATAATGTTATATTTTGGGTGAAAATAAAGTTACTAGAACGTTGTAAGCAACGTTTCTGTAATCTTTAAATGATGTTCAAAACATGTCAAAACAACGTTTTTATAAGCTGAATTTGTTATCTGGTAGCAATTCTGATTCCATGTGGACTTTGCTGATTTTCACACAGTTCTCTTTCTGTGTTATAGGTCTGTAAAATGCCTCGTTTGGGTTCAGTGTTGGTTTGCGTGAGACTCTGGCGCTGGCACACCTGAGGAGCCGTGACTCCAGCTCATTTCCCTCTCAGGTGAGGTTTGTTTTGACTCGGACATTGGAGACCACCCTCACTATGTCATTTAGCCGTGGCATATTACTTTCTGCGTTTACACACACCAGCCGCGCCGTCAAACACGCAAGCCATTCCAGTTACAGAGCGCGGTTTGTGCTGGAAATTTAGTCTCGCATTTCTGCATGTTAAAGCAAAAATTATAAATGATGTAGAACCACAGCCGCCCAATCTAACGAGATTAACTAATGCTATCAGCGATTTCCCATTAAAGTCGTAATTACAAGTTTGTCGCATCGGACACTGGGTTCATTCTCACCAATTAAATCTTAATAGAGCCAAAATGTACTGAAGATATTTAGATACTGGATTTACAATACCCAACAGATTTAGAATAAATTGTAACGTCACATTCGTTTATAAACATCCACCGCACAATCTAGTCAATCTCAGTCAAATAAACGCTGTGTAAAATACATACACTATACATCAAATGGTTATTGAGATACATAAATATGCATGACTGTAACAGCAAGAGGAAGCAGGCACTGTTTAACGTTTGCGTCCCGGACGAATCAGAAACTCGGTTTCTGAGTTTTCCGGTTGTAATTGGGTCATTCCTGGCATTCGGTGGCTTCTGTGTCCCTGGTAAAGATCATGACCTCATTTTAAAGTCATTTTTAAACCTGTTTGTTCTTAACAGGGTGGGCATTTTTGGCCTTCCATTTCATAGATTTTGTTCAATATATGCTTACATTTATTTGCCTGATCTGGACCTGAATCATTTTTCAAATATTTTACATCTCCCAATCATGATTGCGCAAAAAGTTGTTTTGAAAATTGTATTTGATTTTCAACATTTCATGATGTCCAAAAGGCACTGAATATCAAATATATGACTTCAGAAGCTGTTTATGTCTTATGTCCGACTAGAAAACTCGGCCTCTTCCAACTAGTCCCACCTTCACGAGTCACTTTGGGAAAAAGCGTCAGCTAAATGCAAGATTGTAAATGTATTTACGAGAATTTTGATAACATAAATGCAGGGTACTTGCCTGTAAGATGTTACTGGACATTTCTTGTCTTCTGTTTTATAGATTTTGTTTAATAAATGCTTACACTTTTGTGTTTCCCCCAATCACGATTTACAAAAAAGTAGTTTGTTTTAAATTTAAATATTTTTTTTTATGATGTCCGAAAAGGCACCAAATACCAAAAGTGACCCAAATATATGACTGTTCATATTCGATTTTTGACTAGTCCCTTTGGAAAAAAGCATCTGCTGAATGCATGACTGTAAATGTATTTCTATCATGACAACTCTCAGAGGATTTTAGCATGGTAATGGCTATGACAATGTTCAATGTTCAATGTATTTGGTCTTGGCGGAATAGATCTGCTACGCTGCTGCTGCTGGTTATTGCTGTTGTCATAGATTACTGCTGCTGCTGCTGCTGCAAATACAGGAACTCGCTACTGCCAATACATCTGCCGATACGCTGCTGTGAGTATTTAAGATGTACTGCTGCTGCACAAATAGCATATAAAATAACCCGCAGCAGATCTATACAGGTGGAGCTGGGGAAGGTGTAGGGTTTCAGAGGAAGTGAATGCTAACCAGCATTTAAATGTAAAGCAGGAAGATCATTGGCTGCGTATGCAACATGAACCAATCAGCTTGTGCCGCGTAGTTTAACGCTCTGAATATCATCAGTTTACATTAACGACCCATCAGCCTGCGCCATCTACACTTTCGTGAAAGAACTTGGCATTTACGATCATTTTGATACCATAAATGTAAGACGTTCTTCAAATGTTTTTGTCTTCCATTTCATAGATTTAGTTTCACAAATGCTTATATATATTTTTTCTCAAGTATTTCTCCCAATTTTGATTGCACAAAAAGTTCTTTTGAAAACGGTAAATTTCCAACTAGTTCCGCTTTCATAAATCACTTTGGAAATAAGCATCTCTTAAATGCACGATTGTAAACATATTTACGATAATTTCAATAGCATAAATGCGGAGCACTTGCCTGGAGGATGTTCTTGGGCAGGTTTCCTAAGTTCTCCTGTACGCTGATGCTGTACGGCGAGAGCTCAAACACAGGCGTGCAGTCGTTTACATCCAAAAGCACGATGTTAACGGTGGCGCGATCCACACGAGGGCTGCTGCCGCGATCCGCCGCCTGCACCAGCAGAGAATACGCCGAGCGCGTCTCGCGATCCAGCAGCTTCGCCACAGAAATCACGCCCGTCACCGAGTCGATCCGGAAGTCCGAGTTAGCGTTCCCGCCGGCGATGGAGAAGCGTATCTGGCCGTTGGTTCCCTCGTCGGCGTCGCTGGCGAACACCTGCAGGACATCTGCGCCGCTGAGCGTGTTCTCCTCGATCTCGATGTCGTAGATGTTCTGCGAGAAGCTAGGTGTGTTGTCGTTCACGTCCAGAACGATCATGGTGACCTCCATTCTGGAGGAAAGCGGCGGCTCGCCTTTATCCGTGGCCACGATGGTCAGAGAGTAATTGGCCATCTCCTCGCGGTCCAGTTCGCCCACCAGAATCACGCCGCCGTCAATGTTCCCGACGCTGAATTTATTCCCAAACGGCCCTTTGAGGGAATACTCCACGTAGCTGTTGGGGCCGCTGTCGGCGTCGGTCGCTTGCGCTGTGAACACTAGCGTATCCACCGGCGTGTTCTCCTGAATATACGCCATCGTCTGGGACGTGAATGAAGGCGGGCAGTCGTTGACATCTAGAAGGATGATAGACACCTGTGTGGTGCTGGTGAAGCGGCTCAAGGGAGGCAAGGCCAGGTCGTTAACGGTGATGACCAGGTTGTAAAACGACTGCGTCTCTCGGTCCAGAGCGTTCCTGGTCTGTAAGACGCCGGCGTCTGTGACGGTGAACTGCGAGTGCGGGTCTCCTGAAGCGATGGTGTAATGCAGCTCCGCATTCGGCCCTGGAAAACAACACACATGCTATTATATTTAATCAGGGGTCACACCTCCGCTGGGGTAGAAAACATAAACAATGGTTTAAAAGCATTGAAAATTGGCAAAATACTGAAAATGACTGTTGCTAATAACTGTAAATCTTAAAAATAACACTATTTATGTGTATATGCATTTTTATGAGCAGGGTTTCCCAAAATGGAAATTTTAATGATTTATTAAAAACCCCCCCACAGGATAATATTTTATTTAACTTGTTTGTTATGTGACAATCAAGGTTGTTATCATTAACTGTCTAATCTAAATCTAATACATTTACTAATATGAAATACTGTTATAGTTTTTATTAATATTATGAATCAGTTTTTATTTTTATACTGTCTGTTTTTTTATTTTACTTCTAGTTAAAATTTTAGCAATGTTGTAGTGTGTTATTTTTGTCATTTTTAGTAGTTTTTGTTTTTATCTATATAGTTTTTATAAATTTTTATTTTAGTTATTTTAGTACATCAAGTTAAACTAAATTAAAATGAGAAATTCTGCCTTGGCACCTAGCTGAAATAAAACATTTGAGATATTTTTTATTTATTTATTGCAAATAATATATATATATATAAAATTGTTTTTTTACTTTAGTTTGGGTTAACTATAATAACCCTGACTTAAACGAAACTAAAATAAACTGAAGCAGTGAAATTAAAATTAAAAAATTTATAAAAATTATTAAACCTAAATAGAAATGTAAAAAAATAATACAAATGACACAAAAACATTAAAAAATGCACCAACACATAAAAATAATAATACAAATACAAAAAAATTAACTAAAATTGAAATAAACAAAAAAACGTAAAAATATAAACTAATTCAAAATATTATTTAAAATGATAATACTATATAAATAATATTAAAATAACTGGTGACATTTGCATCAGAGAACCTTGAACATGCAAATGTGAAATAAGTGAAATATCAGAGTAAATATTTATTAAAATATTACATAAGTAAATATTAAATATAAATATTAAATATCCAAGTAAATAAGTTCACAGCTGACAACAAGTTTGGGAAACCCTACGTTTGAGCATTGCGTTGTGAGTCAGTTATTAAACAGAAATAATGACTTTGAGTGTAAAACAGCACGGCGTGAAGAGGGATCTCTGCAGTATAACAGTGTGTTTGTGCAGACGTGTTACAGTACAGCGAGTGTGTGATACGGATCTGCTCCGTTCACAGTAAATGAGCTCTAATTGAGCGGCTGCAATGCTGCCCGCTCATGTGGAACCACACTGGCCTCGTTTACTAAACACGCAGGGGTCAGAGGTCAGGGGTCAGGAACACGTTTACAGAAGAGCGGGAGGAAAAGCCACAGGCACAAATGTAGGTCAGCGTAACCACATTAGAGTCGGAGACATGAATCTCACAGAAACATGTGCGGCTCAGAATCCAGCCTGCAGCTTCTTTGTGCTACATATCTGCTCTTCTTTCCTTTTATTCATTTTGATATGACCCAGACATGATTTTGTGAGACTCACCCAAACACGAACCGCAGTCTGAACTAGACGAGACTAGCCTGAGTGTTCAGATATGTTCAAACACGCTGAATTTAATGAACAACGGCACTTTTCTGTTGTAGAAAACCACATCAATGTTGTTAAAAACTATTTTTGTAAATTATTTCATGCTATAATATTAGCATTGGTCAACATTCTTACATTTAAATATGATATTTAATTATTAAATGTAATTTACTGTTGTAGAAAACAGCATAAATATTGTTAAAAACTAACAAAAAGTGGCAAAAAATACAAATATTCATATACTGTATAATTTAATTCAATACAATAAAAGTATTGTATTTCTATAATATTAGCATTTGTCAACATTCTTACACTAAAATGTGATTTTAAGTTTATTTACTGTTGTAGAAAACCGTGTAAATAACGTTAAAATCAACCAAGATGGCAAAATGTAGAAAATGACAACTGCAGATATTTGTATACATTTCATTCAGTGCATAAATGTATTTTTAATCTAATTAAGAAAAAGCAAAACCATTTTTCTGAGAATTGAAAGACGAACAACAAACTAACTTAACTCTTCAACCTGAATTTGAATTAAAGTAGCAAACAGGATGAAGAATGGCATACATTTTATACAACGTTATAAATACAAAAAGTATTAAAAGGATTGTAATCGAATTAAAAATTGTACCCAATATTTGTGTGTAATATGTTATGAATTTTTATGTCCATTAGAGCTGGGTTTCCCAAACTGGTGTTTGCAAGTTTATTAAAAAACTAATAATTAATTAAATAATAAAATTAAAATAAATAATTTTAAAATAATAAAAAAAAAACAAAAAAACCTGTAACCGTGAATGAAACTGGGGTTTGCATGTTTATTAAAAACGAATAATTAATTAAATTATAAAAATATAAAATGAAAATAAAATAAAAAAATAAATAATACAACAAAATATTTACATAATAATGTTATTACATTTGATTTACATTACATTATTACAAGTGATTATTACATAATGCTCACTTGTACCCATTAAATTGTTGTTAAATTATGGAAAAATTTACTTAAAATCTCAAGTAAATATTTCAGGCTTAAAATAATCAAAATAAAATAAACATTAAAATAATATAAAAAAATATTTACATAATAAAATAAAATAATAAAAAAATAATAAAACCTGAATGGCTGCTACATGTCATATGTATTCGGTTTATTATTTAGCTGGCCACTTTGTGTACAATATTCTCAGACGACGGCTGTGTAAACAGCTGCAGTATATAATGTACAGGCTAGTCATCTTCCCTGTTTGTTTAAAGCAAAATAAAGAAACTAACTGTGAATGAAACTGGGGTTTGCAAGTTAATTAAATCATAAAAATGTAAAACGAAAATATATAATAAAAAAAAATTATAATAATAATGCAACAAAACATTTACATAATAATGTATACATAATATTTTAAAAATAAAATAATTTAAAATGATAATAATAAAACACTTGTACCCATGAAATTGTTGTTAAATTATGGAAAACCTAACGTAAAGTCTCAAGTAAATATTTTAGGCTTGTATCATGTTATTCGGATCATAAACGCGTGTGTAATATCCTCAGGAGCAACAGTGCACTGTATTTTTTTATGAAGGGAATTGCGAGCGTCTCACCGTCGTCGGCGTCAGCGGCGCTCAGGCTCAGCACGGTCGCTCCGGGAATCACGCTCTCCGGGACCGAGCTGCTGTAGACGGAGCTGTGGAAGCGCGGCGGGTTATCGTTGACGTCCAGAAGATTGAAGTAGACTCGTACGGAGCTGGACAGACCTCCGCCGTCCCGGGCCTGGACCGTCAGGATGAAGTACTGCTGAGACTCGTAGTCCAGCGCTCGGCTGATGTTGAAGACGCCGGTGACCGGGTTCAGGAGGAAGGTGGCATCCTCATCATCCTCCTCTATAGAGTACGTGATCTCGCCGTTTGATCCCGAGTCAGAGTCGCTGGCCAGAATCGCCGCCACGATCGAACCTCGATGGAAAACCACAACAGAAACTTAGTAATTATGCAACAATATAAGTTGAAATAATGCAGACTGACGGCGTCAACAAAAGAAAATACCATTAATGAATAACCTCGGAGCTCACAGCCTTTGACATGAAACCTAAAAATGAACTAAAACTAAAAAAAAAAAAATTATAATAATGAATATTTGTAATGTAACTACATAATAATATTTACTAAAAAAACTAAAACTGAAATTAAATAAATAAGATTAGTAATATTTAACAGTAATGTTTCAATAAAACTAATAAAAAGCACATAACAAAATAATTTAAAAAATATTTTGTAAAATTAAAATGAAAACTGAAAATATAAAAATATAAGCCGATTCAAAATATTACTAAAAACTATAATAGTATATAAATAATGCTAAAATAAATGTTGTGCACAATACTATAACGAACATGTCTTTGTATAACGTCACATATTCACATATTTAATGAAGCATTAGAATTATTAACTGGAAACTAAAACTATAACTGAAATAAAAAATCAATTAATATCAATTAATATAACATTAAAAAAACATAAAAATAGAAGCTAATTTAAAAAAAAATATTTAGTGGTTCATCAGTTTTTACTTCCAGAAGCGACCCTATATGAAATTACATTCTAGAGTGCGTTAATATGTGTTTTACTTACTGTGGTATATTTATTATGTATATATAAATGCACACACATATATGTATATATTTTAAATATTTTTTATATTTTTAAAAATATTTGCATGTATATATATTTATACTTGTATATAATTTGTTAAATATAAATATGAATATTTTATATATAAATCTAACATATTTTTCCTTAACATATACATGCATGTGTGTGTATTTATATTTACATAATAAATATACTAGAGATGGGCGATATGGGGTTAAAATATATATCACGATAATTTCTGGTATTTATTGCGATAACGATATCAATGACGATAATTCAGGGAAACTTATGCATCCATTAAGAGACAAAAAAATGACTGAGTACACACGTAATGTAATTTGTGTTTAAGTCATACTAGAAGCCAGAGGGCGCTCTTGCGCAGAAACTCCACACATGCATCGCAGAAGTAATAGCACTGACACGCTCCAGGAAATCCCTAATATGGACAAAGCCATCCAGTTATCGCTGTAGCTAGAGACATTTTAACTGATGAAACTTGAAGACAATAAACATACGATTGCGACAATATATGGTTTATCTGTGCTCTTCAAGCAATCTTTTATCGCTTTCAATTTATAATGCAATGCTAATCGACATAGCCTTTATCACTGTATACAATACTATACAATAGTATGATTTCTGCCTCGTTCTGTGAGTTGAAACAACCACGTCTGATCACAAAAAGTTATTTCAAACATTCGACTGATGCTATGAAGTTAATTTGACAACAGGTTTGTAAACACGCTCAAACATATGCAAAATTAAATTGCACGCGTGCTACTGTACTACATTTATTCAAGGCTCAGAATTATTTTTTTGTCGCACTGTACAGCCCTGACCAAACCAGAAGGAGCTCCTTATTTAGTGATAAACTCCTCCTCAATTTCACGTCCACCTTCCGTGATGTCGCACAGAGAAATATGTCAACAACTAGACTTTATCGTTATTATCGCGGGAAGACTAATTCTTATCGTGGGGAGAATTTTTACTGGTATATCGCAAACGATAAGATATCACCCATCCCTAAAATATACACAGCACACACACATATAGTATGTAAACAAACTTTTATTTTGAATCGATTAATCACGATTAATCGACGATTAAAAGAACTGACTGATCCTCATCATACCTGGACTGGTGTCCTCGGGGATGTCGAAGGAGTAGACGTTGCGTGAGAAGTGTGGCGTGTGATCGTTGACGTCGCTGACCGTGATGTTGACTCGGACGTCGGAGGACTGCTGGCCGTCGTCGGCTCGCACCAGCAGCGAGTACTTGGATCTGCGCTCGCGGTCCAGATGCCGGATAGCCGTCAGCTCGCCGGACTCGGGGTCGATGCGGAAGCTGTCGTCTGCGCCGCTGATGATGGAGTACGTCACCAGAGCGTTCGCTCCCTGCACACAAACACAGATTCAATCACAAACTTCATTCAAACAGGAAACAAGATCGTTTTTCTGCCCCCACTGGCAGATATTTCTTTCTTGTTTTAAGAAAAAAAACACTTTATTTTGATAATTTTTTCAGAAAACAAGATTTAAGAATGTTTAGATATTTATACTGCAAATCAAGACAAAATATTAAGAAAATCAGTCATGTAAAAATAATGTCTGTGCGTAACATCTCACATTCACACATTTAATTGAAATAAAGTTGAAATAAAATAAAATATAAATATTGCATGAAAAACTTCCGCACGGAAATGTTGTCTTGGGAGATCAGTTTACATTGAAGCAATACAATTACTGGAAATAATAAAAACTAAGACTAAAACAAACAAAAAAAATATTATAAATAAATAGTAATATTTAATTTTAAAAAAATGTCAAAAGCACATTAAAAAAATAAATTAATTAAATAAAATGGAAATAAATTAAACTAAACTAAAACCAAAAATGAAATAAAGTAAATGAAATAAAAAAATTATCATAATTCATATAACTAAATAGCAATATTTAATACTAATATTTAATTATAAAAAAACTAACAAAAACGTCAACAGCACATAATAAAATTACAAAAACTAAAATTAAAATGAAAACTGAAAATATAAAAATAAAAACTAATTTAAAATATTACTAAAAGCTATAATATTATATAAATAATATGAAAATAAATGGTCTGTAAAATAAACGTGTCTGTGCATAACGTCAAACTTTCACATTTGCTTAAATAAAATATAAATATTAAATGAAAAGATTTGAGAAAATGAGAAATGTTGAAGCACTAAAATCACTAACGGGAAATAAATAGAAACTAAAATGAAAAGTGAAAATATAAAATAAAAGCTAATTCAAAATATTACTAACAACTATAATAGTATATAAACAATACTAAAATATATGGCGTGCTAAATACTGAAACAAATGTGTCTATGTATAACGTCACACATGATCTTCAGATTACAGCAGGACCAATTAGTGAGAGTGAAAGTATTTCATTTCCAGCCTGGTGTTGAGTTTCCTGAGATCAGATCTGTAGTCTGTAGAAACACAAACCCGCATATACAGCACATGAGCGAGAGAGACTGAGAGACTGAGAGAGAGAGAGACTGAGAGAGAGAGAGAGTGAGAGAGAGAGAGACTGAGAGAGAGAGAGACAGAGAGACAGACTGAGAGAGAGAGACTGAGAGAGAGAGAGACTGACTGCACAGATCAAACAGAGCTACATCACTCACTGGCAAACCCAAACACAACAGCAGAGTAAAGTGCAATGCTATCTGAGAGAGAGGTGTGTGTGTGTGTGTGTGTGTGTGTGAGAGAGAGAGAGAGAGAGAGAGAGAGAGAGAGAGACAGCAGGCGTCTCTTTGAACTGAACGGATATACGCTTCCTCTATAAATCCAGCTAATGGATCCCCTGATCCCCGCGGCTCTCAGACGCTACACATCTGATCCTGACGAGCAGAGAATAACGCCAGCGACAGATCGGGACGTCCACGACAGCGCAGGACAATACGAGTTCAGAGACGACAGCACATCAAAGAGCAGCAGATGAGGATCCGCTTACAGAGACACCACAGCATCGCCACTCAAACTCAGAGTGCCCAGAAAATACCGTGCTAAATCAATATGGTAAAGCATATTCCTGGGATTGTTGCATTGTGAATTTTAATGTAAGGCATTAGACATTTTACTTTCATTTTACACTAAACTAAAAAAACTTTTTTTAAATAAAGCTGAAATAAAATATGACTAGATTAGATTAAAAAACCAGAGAAATGAGAAATGTGTTCTTGGGAACTAACTGAAAACTTACTAACATGATAAATAAAAAAAATTATAAAAATGGAAATAAATAAAAACTAAAAATGAACAAACTGAAAAAAATTATAATAGTAATATTTAATAAAAAATAAAACAACACAAGACAACAAATTCACTAATATGAAACAAAACAACCTGAAAACTGAAAATATAAAAAACAGCTTATTCAAAATATTAACGAAAACTATAATAGTATATAAATAATTCTAAAATAACAATGGTCCTTAAAGTAGGCTTACATTTTTATGCTACATATTTTAATATTAACAATTAGAATTAGTTTATATATTTGTTTTTATTTTGATCTTAGTTTTAGTCATTTTTTGTTTTTGTCATATTTAAATGACAAAACTATATTTTTTAATATTTCTACATATTTTTTTTACTTTATTATTATTATTTGTACATTATTACGTGACATACATGAAAACAAGAAATGCTTTCAGTGCAATTAGCTGAAATACAGTAAGTTTACTATTTAAAATAAAACATATTTAATTATATTTCAGTTTAAGTAATGAAAAATTGTTTTTTTATGGTTTTGGTTTTAGTTTTGTAGTTTAGTTAACTACAGTAATCTGCATGCATTTAACTATAATAAACACACACACATTATATATATATATATATGAACATGTTCTTCAGAGGTTCTGTGTGGTTCAAATCCTGTGTTTTTCTCTCTCTCGTCGTCCTTCTGCTGGAAAGAGAAACGCAGTCAGAAAGAGTAAAAAAGCAAGTGAATGTGATTCCTGAGCTCCTGCTGCCATAGATCAGAGCAGACCTCTGGATTTCCCATCAGCCACCTGGAGCCGCCCCCTCTTCCGGCCGCGGACGCTGAACGACATACGGAAACTCACTCAGAGAGCGAGATGAGAAAGACTGCTTCCTCTGACCGACTGACCACATTATCCTCAACTACAACCAGCACAACACACCGGCATCACCTGAAATCAAATACATGCTCGCATAAAACACTAGTTCAGCTCACTGCCAAGACAGCATTTCTCATTTCTCTTAACGTGGTGTACTAAAATAACACAAATTACAACTAAAAACTGCATTGGCATATTTGAGAAAAAACTAAAAACACCCAACTAAATTATTAGTAAAACTTGAACTAAAATTAAAACATAAACAAAACATAAGCTGAAACTAGATAAAACAAACATTAGATGAAAAAAACGTAAATGAGAAACCAAAATAGGTTTACATTGAAGCACTAAAAATAACTGGGAATAAATACAAACTAAAACTGAACTAACAAAACAAAACTTTAATTTAACTTACATTTAATACAATACAAATAAAATGACAAAAATGGAAAATTAAATAAAATGACTAAAATTTAAATGAAAACTAAGCTTTTAAAAATAAAAACTCAAAACAGTAAAAAAAGATCAGTTAAATAACAATAATGATGTGAACTTTATGCTCGTGTTTTTCATGATTATGCTTTATAATCGGGTTCTGGATGTCTATGAAGTTTAAAGCATAGTTTATCCATGTGTCGTGCAGTGAGTATGTATTTGGTGATTTTCACCTGACGATAAAACAGCTGAAAAATCCCACGGACGCACATTAAAGGAGGAAATGGACACTCTTTTCAACTGCATAGCAACACCTAGAACCTCCTAGCGACTGCATAGCAACACCCAGAAACCCCAAGCGACAGCATAGCAACACCCAGAACCCCCAAGCGACTGCATAGCAACACCCAGAACCCCCAAGCAACGCCTCGCAACCACACAAACCCCCAGCACGACATAAACAAAACATAAGCTGAAACTAGATAAAACAAATATTAGATGAAAAAAACGTAAATGAGAAACCAAAATAGGTTTACATTGAAGCACTAAAAATAACTGGGAATAAATACAAACTAAAACTGAACTAACAAAACAAAACTTTAATTTAACTTACATTTAATACAATACAAATAAAATGACAAAAATGGAAAATTAAATAAAATGACTAAAATTTAAATGAAAACTAAGCTTTTAAAAATAAAAACTCAAAATAGTAAAAAAGATCAGTTAAATAACAATAATGATGTGAACTTTATGCTCGTGTTTTTCATGATTATGCTTTATAATCGGCTTCTGGATGTCTATGAAGTTTAAAGCATAGTTTATCCATGTTTCGTGCAGTGAGTATGTATTTGGTGATTTTCACCTGACGATAAAACAGCTGAAAAATCCCACGGACGCACATTAAAGGAGGAAATGGACACTCTTTTCAACTGCATAGCAACACCTAGAACCTCCTAGCGACTGCATAGCAACACCCAGAACCCCCAAGCGACAGCATAGCAACACCCAGACCCCCCAAGCGACTGCATAGCAACACCCAGAACCCCCAAGCGACTGCATAGCAACACCCAGAACCCCCAAGCGACTGCATAGCAACACCCAGAACCCCCAAGCGACTGCATAGCAACACCCAGAACCCCCAAGCGACTGCATAGCAACACCCAGAACCCCCAAGCGACTGCATAGCAACACCCAGAACCCCCAAGCGACTGCATAGCAACACCCAGAACCCCCAAGCGACTGCATAGCAACACCCAGAACCCCCAAGCGACTGCATAGCAACACCCAGAACCCCCAAGCGACTGCATAGCAACACCCAGAACCCCCAAGCGACTGCATAGCAACACCCAGAACCCCCAAGCGACTGCATAGCAACACCCAGAACCCCCAAGCGACTGCATAGCAACACCCAGAACCCCCAAGCGACTGCATAGCAACACCCAGAACCCCCAAGCGACTGCATAGCAACACCCAGAACCCCCAAGCGACTGCATAGCAACACCCAGAACCCCCAAGCGACTGCATAGCAACACCCAGAACCCCCAAGCGACTGCATCGCAACACCAGAACCCCCTAGCAACTGCATAGCAACACCAGAACCCCCTAGCAACTGCATAGCAACACCAGAACCCACTAGCAACTGCATAGCAACACCAGAAACCCTTAGCAACTGCATAGCAACACCAGAACCCCTTAGCAATGAGCTAAAATCAGCATCGCTCTCTGTAGCTGGAGCTCTGGCCGTTCCGTGCGGATGTGGGCAGAGATCTGGACAGGAATAACCCTGGACTCCAGTCACACAGCCCAAACATCACAGAATTCCTG